AGTGAGATGAGAGGTCTGGGTGGCAGACACTTCATGGTCCCTCATATGGGTGGTCCACTGTGAGCCTCAACCTTCCTCAACCATTCAGACCTGTCCATGATGTTGCCTGGACTGTCTTCAGATCTGAAATTGGGCCTGAGATCTCAGACACAGAGGTCCACAGAAAATTTGGGACACTCAGTAGAAGAAAGGCAAAGGGAAGAAGTTCACTTACTGCATTGTCTGCTACACGCAGGCCTTCCTATTCTAAGACCATGGCAGCATGGCAGCACACATGCACATACATGTAAGCACACACGTACTCTCATGCACATACAGACATGTATATGCAGCGAACCCCGGGAGGGAGGGGGGCTGTGGAGCCCTTGGAGATGTGGGTGGTAGCATCCTCCCCAGGTCCACCTATCACATTTCAGCTGCTCCCTCCAGATACAGCCCTGACCACAATGAGAGCCGATCTGTTCCCTTTCAGCCAGACTCAGAAGCACGTACAGAGAGACTTGGAAGGCAGCTGTCCTGGTGAGGGAGGGTACTCAGGGTTGGCAAATCGAATGTTTTGGGCCCTTATGGCATGCCCCAGGTGGAAGGACGGAAGGGGGGCTTCTTGAGAGGGTAGTTTGGTCAGGACTGGTCCCACTGTGGGCACTTCTGTGGCAAATGGGTGACTAGGTCTCAGAATCCCTGACTTGGACAGAAATGGAGTGAAAGCTGCTTTCAAGATGGAAGCACCAGTGGAGTCAGCTCATGTGCACCCAGGGCAAGGGTCTATCCACTGGGATGGCCATTGCTGTGGGGGTCTGTGGCTATGATTCTGCACACCCAGGAGCCCTTTCCTGCAAACCAGTGAATACTGCCTTGGCTCTGCACGGGGCCTGTAGAACTTTGGTTGATTGAATAGCTATGTATTAACGAGTGACAGAAGGGCAGGCATGCCTTATGTATGCTGGCAGCAAGGTCCCTGGCAGCCAATGGGTGTGAGGTAAGGCTTGACTAAAAGCTGCACTGAATGATGCTGTGCTGGGGAAGGCTTCTTCCGCCCTTTCATCCAGGACTTCTGGAAAAGTTCACCTTCCTTTACCCAACACTGGGTTCATCCTTTGATTAATTCTCTTGGGACTTGTCATACATTGGTCAGCAACTTCTGGGATGCTCCAAAGTACTGCCTCTCTGGAGGACCAGGTTGCTGGGCAGCACCTTTGGTTTTACTTTCTCAGGAAGTGTCCTTGCTACCCTAACCCTTTTGCTTCAGAATCCAAATGGCTAACAGCACCTGTGAGGCAGCAGATGCCACAGATACCTGCTCAGCACAGTGTAGCTGGAGCCCAGGGTTCCTCCCTGTAGGAGCTGCTGCTGCAGCCAGTTCTGTACCAGGTGTCAGAGGCTGTGTACTACCTGGTTGTCAAGGGACAGCAGGCAAAATGTCTTACCATTCAAACTCCTTCCCTTTCATACACAAGACACTTGCCTTGCCTTTCTTTTCCATCCTGAGGTGATGAATGGATGCGCCACAGGTGCAAGCCAGGTGTTTGGGATGGGGTGTGGCTCAATGGTACAGCACTTGCCTAGCATGTGAGAGGCCCTGGGTTCCATCCCCAGCACCACAAAAAAGAAAAACCAGTTGTCTCTAAATGGCCCAGGCGAAGTCAACTTTTATGGGGTTCTCAGGGCCCCACCCCAAGGCCCTATGGGATACCTACCAACCAGGTGGATGAGAGCTCTCCAAGACAATTACAGGTTCCAGAAATACCAGCTAGGGACAGTATGTGGGATACAGTGGTCAAGTCTAGAATCTCAAAGTACCTGGTCACAACACAGCTCTAACAAGTTGTACAGAACTTCTGTGTTCACATACAGGCTGGACAAGAGCCCTCCCAGGCCTGCTGTACAAACTGAGTGGGTAAAGTATATGGACCTGTTTCATCAAATGCAAGATGCTATTTAGACACAAGCCTTTCTTTATCTTCCTATATCAATGACCTTTTAAACATCCTGTTTACTCTTCACTGTTTCCTGAGGCCCAGCATCCTTATACCTGGACAGAGTGAACTATGGTTCTTTGCTGCCTCTACTCGCCAGGGTAGCTCCCTTTCCTCTGCCTTGTCATTGGAAAGCAAATGGCTCCTGTCTGTCTTTAATCAGTGGAAAACCATCTAAGCAAGCAGAGCCTAGGTAGTGGGGTGGGCAGAGTCAGCTGATGTCTGCTCCAAGGCCCCTCCTCTTTGGCAGGCAGGCTGTGCTCACTGCCTCTTATGATAGGACAGAGACATAAAGAGTTGTCCATGACAAAGGCCTGGCTGTTTCACACTGCCCTGGTCCCAGGAGCAGTCTCTATCAAGTGGGGACTCTGAAAAGTGCATGCTGAAGTTGTCAGACCCACCCAGGCAGACAGCAGCTGGGAAGGCCCCTTGCAGGCCGGAACAGGGCCTCCCTGCTGGGCTGAGGTCATTGTGCACAAGCCTTGGGGAGGGCAGGGTCCCTTCCCAGCCAAATACAGACTTGCTGCAAGAGCCTAGACCCCAAGAGATGGCTGCAAACTTCCCCCACAAAATTCCTGACATTCTCTGCACACAACTTGTTGAAGATGGGGATGGCTGACTCCAGTGCAGAGTTCTGGGATTTTTGAATCTGACATAAATTCAAAGAAGTAAACACCCCCCAACCCCCAGTCCTGTGTCCAGGTCTTGAGAATTTCCTGTTGTCCAAGCCAGTCTGTGGTGAGTAACCACATCTGCACCTCATCAGCTCCCAGGCATCTAAAATGAGAAGCAGATGGGGCCAGGGATGGGGCTGGCCTTAAGATAGTCCTAGTTTCTGGAAGACCTGTGCTCTTAGAATTTCATCTGGACTTGTCCTGAGTCAGGACAATGGGCTGCTAGGGGGCCTGTGGCATTCCTGTCTCCCTGAAGCTTCTCTATTCTTCCTGATGCTCCCTGCTGTTCTGAGAGCAAGAGGAACAGCAGCACATGTGGGAGCTGCAGACGGACGGAGGGAAAGAAATGACCACAGACAGCAGCAACACAGGGAGTTGCCCTCACAGTAGCCAGGGAGCCTCTGGCCTGCCTCTGGGTCCCCTGAGGATACCTAACTTGAACCCTGCTCCTGGGCTCATTGACTGTCCATGCCCAGTCTCACACTGCCAGCTAGAGTTGGATGGCTGAATGGACCTAGAGGGTTGACAGGAGCCCCTCAACAAGCAGGGAAGTCAAAAGGCAGCTGATGTGGAGGCTGTACAACAGGACTTCCAGGGTCTTGCTGCCCTCTAGTTGAGAACCTCTAGGTGCCCTTGTGGGAGGGAGCCAGGCCTTGCAGTCCTTCTTCCCAGCCCCAGAAAAAGATGGACGGAGCTAGACCAAGGGCAATAGCTGGGATAATCAGAACATGCCTTCTAGCATGGTGGCACACCTACTCAAGGGACTGAGGCAAGTTCAAAACCTGCTGGGCAATTTAGTGAGATGCTGTCTCAAAAAAATAAAAAAGACCTGGGGATGTGACTCAGAGGTAGAGGGTCCCTGGGCTCAATCTGCAGTACTGGGGGAAAAAAAAGTTTCTGGGTTTTGGACCTATTGCTTTCTCGTCACTGGAAATTAACCATTTAAAGACTACTTAAAAATAAGTGATTTAATTAATCATGGAGGGAAACCAAATCCTTCCCAACTTTTGGGAAAATGCCCTCTCTTCACAAATACCTACTGCACTGTGTGCTTAGGAATGCCGAGTGCTGGAGACAACGTGCCCTAAACCTGCCCTTGCTCCTGGACATGCAGGTGGCAGCAACTGTGTTCACTGCCAGCTCCAGAGAGAACAATCCTGTGAACACCCTTGGGGAAATGAGGGACCAGTGCTTCTCAGGACCAACACCTGGCCATAGGCTGGGCAGAGGCAGTTTCAGCCTGTGTGTGAAGTCAGGCTCTTTTATGAAGTCACATTCCATATGTGACCAAAGACTCCAGTCCCAGGAAACAGGAGTCTGGTGTCAGGAAAATGCCACCCAGGACCTGGCTGGCAATGCACTCGGGTAAGAAACAGCCAAGAGGCTGCTCTCCTACACCTGGGCCCCGCAGGTAATAGGACTCTGCACACAAATGATGTACTGTGCTTTCCCCGCAAGGTGGGTTCAGGTGAAACATGGCACCTGCATCTGTGTTCATCCCTGCAACTCCCAAGCCCTGGAGGATGGGCCCCAGTGCTGGGCTGAGGTTTCTGCAGATGGAAGGGTATATCAGACCCTTCTGCTGTGTTTGTCCATTGATGCCGATGGGTTCGAAACAGAATAGAGGAACCTTCCCAACTCCCTGGCAGCATGACAGCATGCCAAGTCACCAGTCTCATTCTGTGTCTGGCCTTGAGGCAATGACAGTCACATCAGCATTGTGCACAGATGGCTAAAATCCACATTTTCTGTCCCAGGCTCTGCACCATGCCCCACCTCTACATGTCCACAATCTCACCTTGTCTGGCCACCTCAGGGACCACCTCAGCAGGAGGTTCTCTTTGTGGGGCCTACCCCTTCAGCTTTTCCCTTGAGGCATATGGCCTCTGCAAGCAGACAGCAGCCTATCTAAGGGGTGTCTCTCCCTCTGTTCCCTCCCAGCGTGTGTCCCTACTCAAGGGCAGGCTCTGTTGCTTTGTGGCTTATAGTGCCTATTATGCAGGGAGACACCTGGAAGACTGGGTGCTGTACCCTGAGGACCTGTTCTACAGTGTCCCTAGACCCTTGGGCCAGCACAAGAGCTGCTGCCTCTGCAGCTGGCCAGGCTCAAATGTGACAGGTGATTAGAGTATGTGGGCTAGCATCCCTGGCCTCTCTTTGGGACAGGAGGGGGAGGGGGCAGTGGCGGGGGACAGCTGGAGCAGTTAAGTCTCCCCAGGCCTTTCCCGTCAGGAAATACATCCTGTTGGTGTCTGGCTCTGTGGTAGGGCTGCTATTTGTTGCAGTTGGCTACGCCTCCCGCTCACCAAAAACACCTCACAAACAACCATTTCCTCTCTGCAAGAGACGGGGAAACTCGAGCTTGCACACACACACTTCCTTGCAGCAGGCTCTGCTTTCCAGGACCTGCCATTTGTGGCGGAGGCACTGGGACAGGGCTCACGCAGCAGAGGCAGCTGAACTCTCACTGCACCCGCAGCCCTGCTGGGAGCTGGTTCTGAGGAGCGTGCCCAGGCTGACTACCCAACGGCGCCTGCCTCTTGAGTCACTTTCTGCTTTCTGCTGCTGCAGGCAAGAAGAGGTGCTGTGGACACGGCCTCCCTGGCCTCTGGATCCCAGGAAGACGGCACACTCACAACTCTGGATTCTTGCTGGTGCTCCTGTTTCCTGCCTAGGATGGGCCTCATGGCGACCGGCTTCAGCACAGGCCTGGCCTTGCTCCAGGTGCAGGAGGGAGGATAAGGCAGGGCCGTGAGTGGCTCACCTGGACCTGTTCCATGGGCCTCTCCCCACATACCCCTCTCCTGTGCCTGGCTGGAGAATGAATGGCGACGTCCTCTAGCTGCCCCAGGTAGTACCTTAGCTCTCCCTGGGCACGCAGCACCTGAAGGGGACTTGGCATCCTCTCTGCTCTAACAGACAGTGCCAGCCAGTGATGGCCATCCAGAAGCTTGTGGCCACAGCTGTGCTGGTGGCCCTCGTCTCCCTCATTCTCAACAACGCAGCAGCCTTTACCCCCAACTGGGTCTACCAGACACTGGAGGACGGACGCAAGCGCAGCGTGGGGCTGTGGAAGTCCTGTTGGCTGGTGGACAAGGGCCGGGGTGGCCCAAGCCCTGGGGCCAGAGCTGGGCAGGAGGACACACAGGACTGTGAGGCGCTGGGCTGGGGCTCTGAGACAGCAGGCTTCCAGGAATCTCGAGGAACCGTGAAATGTGAGTCTGCTTATTTTTGTGTCACCTTCAGAGGGGCTGGGTGAGGGAAGGCTGTGCCCAGGCCATTGGGAAAGGGAAATTGGGCCTATGCCCACCCTCACTTGGTGAGCAAGGTCACAAGACTTGCTCCTGCTTGGTCCATCCTCTGCCTCTCGCTCTTTCTGCAGGGAATTCACCTTATACAAGTGGGGGCTTTCTCTGCCATTACGCATGGCTGAAGGACAGGTACAGTAATCTAGTCAATGAAAGACATTTTTCCTTGGTTGAAAAAAATTTTGTTGAGCTAGGGATGTAGCTGAGTGGCAGAGCACTTGCCTAGTACATGTGAGGCCCTGGGTTCGATCCCCAGTACCAAAAAAAAAAAAAAAAAAGTAAAATAAACAAGAAGTTTAAAAATACATGGCTGAGTTCTGACTTAATTTCCACACTAGTCAACTAGTCAGGACCTTTAGGGCTGTGAGCAGCAGCAAGGGAGACTCCTGGGGCCTGACTTCGGCTGGGATATGTGGAAGGAGGCCAGGGAGGCTCTGTGATGGCAGAGGGCAGAGTGTTGTTTTGCCTTCAGGCTCCCCACTCTTGTCCAAAGGCCTATCTGCTGCCCTGGAAGTTGGGAACCTCACTCTGAAAGTGCAAGACATGGTGCCTGGATCTGGCTCTGAACAGACACTTACTACAGAACATGTAATCTACAAGAGTCACTCTGCTGAGATTCATGTTCTCCCCAGATCGTGGATGATCCCTTAGAACTGCTGACTGCAGGGCGGGTGGGTTTGTCTCAGTTGTAGACCCCAATGTCTCAAAGTTGGATCTTGCCTGTTTTGGAAGCAACATTAGCCTGAAAGACAATGTGAGGCATAGGCGAGGTGCCTGTTCAGTGCTCTGAGTTGTTCCTGGAAGTCCACGAGCAACACTGAGTGCAACGGTCAGTTCAGGGCCCTGACCTGCTATGAGCCTGGGAGCCCAGACCGGGGACATTCCCACTTCACAGGTGGAGAAGCTGGTAAAAAGAATGGTCTGTGTCCTCCTTCATCCTTCACAAGCAGGGAACAACAGCCTTTTCTTGTTTTTGGTACTGGGGATTTACCACTGAGCCACATCCCCAGCCCCACCTCCTTTTCTCATATTTTTATTTTGAGACAGGGTCTCACTAATTTGTTTAGGGCTTCTCTCAGTGCTAAGGCTGGCTTTGAAATTGTGATCCTCCTGCCTCAGCCTCCTGAGCCAGTGGGATTACAGGTGTTCGCCATGGTGCCCAGCAACAGCCTTCCCTTGAAAAAGATCAAAGCACATGGACATTTTCAAAAATCTCTACCAGCTCCCAGAACTCAGGTGTCTTGTGGGAAACCATATAAACACAGCTGAACTTGCGTCTCTGTGTGACCTGTTGGCAGAGAGCCTTCACTCTGGATTCTATGGTCATTCTAAAAAGGAAATCGAGCAACTCACGGCTCTGTGCCTGCCTTTTATGTGGGCTGTAACAACACACATAGACCTGGAGGCCTTGGACCTCCTGGCTTGGGGCTGGGACACAGGTAGGGTTTCTAGTCCCAGAGCTTTCACTATTCTTTGGGAACAGCATTGGCCCACCTAGCAGGTGGGAACCTCCACCAGCCCCCGGCCTCTGCCCTGGGCCTCAAGGCTTCTCAATGGCCCAGGTGCCCCAGATAGCTAGAAGCAGGCTGCCCCCACTGCCTCCTGCATTTGCACAGTCTTGGGGCAGGAGGAGCAGGGTGTGTAGTTGCCCTGATTCCCCTGCTGACCTCTTGCTGAGGCCTGTTGCCTCAGACCAGCTGAACCCTTGGTCCCTCAAGGCCCATTCCTGTCTGTTCCTTCTGAGTGCTAGCCCCACTGCCGGTCCTCAGGGCTCCCACTTCCCTGAGACTGAATGCATGCTCTGTCCAAACACTTGACAAACTTGTCGCACGATCTTTAAATACTTCTCCTCAGTTAACGTGGCACTTGCAGGTAGCTGACCCTCAATGAATCTGAGCAGCGACTATTGGTTCAAACAATGGAAATGGTCCAAGTTTCTCAGGAAGGACTGAGAAGACCAAATTTAGGAAAACAGGCTGAACAGGTAATTTTGGTTGCCAATAAAACTTCTAACACATATTGAGACTGAAGCATGATAGGAACAAAGCAGACCCAAGTCAGCATTTCCTGAAGGGAAACTACAGATCCTAACCCATGGGCTTGAGCCACTGGCAAGAGGGCAGCATGGCGCCACACCCAGCAGTGTGCAGGTGGAGATGATGGTGTTGGCTCCTCTTCCTGACTCCTCCCATCAATGAAGCCTAAAAGCAGCCTCACTTGTTCCTCTCCCTACTAGCAGGCCCCTCTATCCACACAGCCCATAATAAACTCACCACTCCAACTCGTGTGCACCTGTGTGCCCAGGCTGATGGACAGCTGCTGCCTGAGCCCAGCCTCAAAATGCTCCTGTTAAACCCCACCCCTTAGTCCATAGGGGTCTAGAATTAGCACTCTGGGGAGGGGCAGCCATGAAGGGCACTGCCTGGACAGGTGGAGTCAGTTTAGGGCCGACATCCTCCTTCAGGCTGATTTCCTCCATGGACAGGCTGGTGGCCAGTGTCATGGGGCTGACACGGTGGTTTCCTCAGTGCCACCCTGAGAACCAGCCCAGGGCCAAGGTGAGGTCAAGACAGGTCACAGAACCCACACTGCAACCCCATGAGCACAGGCACATCTGCCAGCTCTGAACCCTGAGGTCCTGCCCTGGAGAATACTGAGCCAGAACCACTCAGCATGCCTCCCTTGCAAGTACCCCAAGGGCTGGCCCAAGAGACAGGAACAGGGGCTACCCCATGACACTCTGCCCTGTGCTGCTGGGTGTCCTGAGCCAGCAGGCTCAGGGGCCATGGGGGCCAGTCCTATGCTTATGCAGGTCCAGGCCCCTGTGTAGCACCTTTGTCACACTGGGACCTTGGATTTTCCCATCAGCTGGCTGCTTTGTTCCTATGGTGCCCATACTTTTATTAGTGATCAGGGTTTCTCTTCCCTGTGAGGAGCCAGGGGTCTGGAGACCTGCGGGTCCCTCTGACTACCTGACTTCAGGGCTGGCTTCATTTTTCACATTTATTCTGCTTCCTGTAGTTCATGTATTCTGTCAGGTTCCCTAAGTCTGAGGCTACCCGTGAACAGATGAACATATAACTGAACCTAGGGGCGGACCAGCTGGACCCAGTGTTCCCAAAAGGAGAGCCCCACCTCCGTTCTCAGGAGGCTCATGAGCATCATGCTGGACATCACACACTCCTGACTCGACAGGCTGGCTGGCTACCTGTGCTGACACCCTGCTTGGCCAGGCACATTTGTGCCATGCTTTCTAGGGGATCATCTCAGTCTGTGAATACAGGCAGCGTCAGGACCGGTGACATATTAGACATGGTGGATCCTACAGGTGGATGGCCATGGGAACAAATTTCATCAGGAGTTCTTCCTTCTCAGATGGAGTGTGGCTCTGTGAGTGCTCCCTGTGGTGAGGCCATTGGGACCCACACTCATGCAGAGGCCTGCATGGTGGCTTATGGGGTGGGTGGCCTCACAGAATCTTTGTCACAGTGCTGCCAGGAAGATGCAAGAGCCAGCTGAGGAACAGGACAGTGGGAGGGCAGGGCTGTGGGTGGAAGACAGGCCAGAGGTCAGTGCATGCTCCCTTCTTGGCTCTGGGAATGGTGGTCTTCTGGCCTCACGGCAGCGACATATACAACCACAGGAGCCTCTCAGACCACTCTTCTCCAGCCAGCAATGGTCAGCCCCATTCACTCAGAGGTCTTTCCTGGCCTTCCAGGCGGAGCTTGGGACACCACTGGGCCATTCCTGTACTATTAATAGTCGTGCCACAGTTCAATACCTCCCCAGTTCTACCATCTTAAAGTAGAGAGGTTATGGGTTGGTCATAAATGGCAAAAGTAACTACAGAGTAAGTTAAGTGTATAGATGACAGAAGAACGGCAACTTCCACAGATACTCACAGATAGTTTTCCAGATCAGACTGGAAAGGAGCCTCAGGAGCACATATTGTCTTATACATGGAGACGGCACCCTACAGAAACATGCAGGTACAGCAAGAAAATGACCAAGAATGTGCCTACAGAATGGGAGAGTCATTGCAGCTGTTCTTCTGACTGAGGATTAATATTCAGGATATAAAAAAGAACTCAAAAACTTACCCCCCCAACAACAATTAATAAATGGGCAAATGAACTAGACAGGTACTTATAAAATGGCCAAAAAATATATGAAAAAATGTTCACCACCCCTAGCAACCAGGGAAATGCAAATCAAAACTGCACTGAGATTTCATCTCACTCCAGTCAGAATGGCAGTCATTAAGAATACTAATAAAGGCTGGTGAGGATGTGTGGAGGGGGAAGGAACACTTTTACACTGTTGGTAGGATTATAAATTAGTACAACCACTATGGAAATCATATGAAGGCTCCTCAAAAGACTAGGCCTGGAACCACCAAATGACCCAGCTACACCACTCCTTGGTACCTAACCCTTTTAAAGAATTTATAGTCATCATGCTACAGTAATACACGAATACCCATGTTTACAGCAGCATAATTCACAATAGCCAAACTATGGAAACAATCTTGGTATCTGTTAATGGATGAATGGATAAAGAAAATGTGGTATATACACACAGTGGAGTTTTACTCAGTCATTTGCAGGAAACTGGACGGAAACTGAGAGCATTATATTAAGTGAATTAGCCTAATACAAAAAGTCAAGGGTCATATGTTTTCTCTCATATATGAAAGATAAAGAAAAAAAAAAGGTGGTGGGGAGTATTATGAAAATAGTTGGAAGATTAGCAGAAGAAAGGAACTGGGGAGACACCTGTTAGAGCTGACAGTGGAAGGTTCTGCAGTCAGGAAGGTTCTGGCAAGTCGACCTGGGCAGCCGCCACCTGCCTCAGCCAAAGGGTTTGGTCCCTCAGTCTGGGGAAGTGAGGATAGCTAAGTCCTGGTTCCTCCTAGGTCTTGAGCCTCAGCAAACAACATGGTGTCATCCCTGATTCCCACACCCCAGGCCACCAAACCAGGGCTCAACTCCCTTGGGGTTCTAGCTCCTCAAATGCCACTTCTCTCTCCACATCATTCTGGAACCCACATCTACCCACTCTCATCCTCTCCAAGTTGTGCCTGAACATGGTGGAGGACTGCCCCAATGCTGAGCCCCTAAACCAACAAGCGGGGCTCCCTTTAACCCATTGTGCATCTCCCGAGTCATGTTCTGTGGTTATTCTGAGGGTTAAAGAACATAAACTCTCCAGGCACCTCTATTTGCTCTCTGGCAGCACACTAGTTGAGTAACTGCATGTGAGACGCTGATTGTCCAGCAGCCCAAGGGCTTCGTGCGTCTGTGAGGCTCTTTATATATGCAGTGTGCATGAGGCCTACTGGCCTCAGAGCTAGCTGCACCACCTCCAGGTTGAAGCCGGAACACTGGAAAAAGCCTGGGATCTGGGAAGGGCTGCTCAAACTCCAAATGACAGGAGGGGACGCCATGGAGGAAACAGCTCAAAACACAATGGGCAGGACAGGCTGATCCTTGGTGGCGGGAAGTGGCACAGAGCCCCTGAAGACTCTGTGACTCCACAGCCTAAATATAGATGCAGCCCACAAGGAGCATGAATCACAGACACCATCCTGGCCTGAAGATGGGGTGGGGCACACATGGGGCCCTGAACAGATGGTTTGTGGCACAGGGCCCCATAAATAGGTCTGTGTTCTACTCATGTGCTGAAGGGGCTTCTTTCACAATGCTTTAGTGGTTCAGAAGGACCAACAGGAAAGGGGTCTCGCTTCACGGTGGACAGCACGGGGGTTTTAAATAGATGTTCAGGGCCACACCAGCACATGGCAAAAATAATTTCTTTTCTTTTCAGTACTGGGGATTGAACCCAGGGGTGCTCTGCCACTGAGCTACATCCCCATTATTATTTTTGAGACATGGTCTTGCTATGTTGCCCAGCCTGGCCTAGAACTTGCAATCCTCCTGTCTCAGCCTCACCAGTCGCTGGGATTACAGGTGTGCATCACCACGGGAAGGTCATTTCTCAGCCAGGATCTCTCAGTGACACTGCTGCTTACCCTTCCCCTGTATGGAGGTTACTCCTGGGCACAGTCAGTACTAAAGGCACAACTGTGGGCCAGGAAGTATGCAGAGGTCTCCTGACAGTTGAATTTCCAAGGCCTGTGAACTCACCTCAAGGACTGCATATCTTCAATGCAGCTTTACCCAACTCTGATGGTCACCCACCTGCCTGGGTCACAAGACTGGAGTGAGAGGAGGGAGACTGGGGGAGGTATGCCTTTGGTGTGCAGATGAGGGGAGCAGGGGAAGTTGGGGCTTTGGGGATGGGACAGAGGATGGCAGAGGAACAGAAACAGAGAGTGGCTAATGGATGCCCATCATCTGTGCTAGGGTGCAGAGCCCAGCACGTGATGGGAGGAGAGGTGCTACTCAGCCAGAGTGTTTTGAGCTATTCCCTGAACCTACGTTTTTTCAACAAACACTGAGACTGAGCTATATGTAACTGTTCACGTTGGCAACAGCAGTTTGAAACTGTCCTTCAACTATGTAAAGGCTCACAAAGACTAAGCACCCTCCCGCCCTGTAAGCCTCTGCTGAGGCACGAGGACAGGACACCCTCCATCCTCTGTGAGGCGTGGGCTGAGGGACCGACAAGTCTTCAGAATAGGTTGCATGTGCTGGCTACGCTCACTTACACAATCAGGCCACCTGTCCAGTGCACAAGCCTCCCCACCGTCCTTGTCCTCATCTGGGCCATGAAGAGTGACAATGCAGTGGTCATCGGGAAGATGACAGCTCTCGGAGGATTCTATTCTCTTGCTTGGTTCTTGCATTTCTGATTATGATATTTTCGGTGACCCAATTGTCTATTCTCTCTCAACTCTTGGAAGAGCACCTTAAAGCTCCAGCGCATGCCTTTTAAAAAAACGTGCTATCTGCAGCAACTTAACTTTGTGATTCAGAACCTCCTAACTACTGTTCCATCACAAGAAGACATGGAAATGCCAAAGGCTGGGGCTAAGTGAACTGCTGCTCTCATGCACAGTCCCTCTATTCTAACCATGCTCATCTACAGACCCACTGTTGGCTTTGGAATAACCTGGAGCCTGGAAGTGACAGCATGGTGGGAAGACACCATCACCAGAATCCCATGGAGGCTTCTGCATGAGGTTTTACTTAGGAGAGGCAAAGCTCACAGACATGCAACCAGCCCTCCCTGCGCCCACCCTTCCTCATCAGTTCACTTACAGAGGGTTGGTCCTCCTGTCTACCCTCCTGGGACCAGGATGTAGGGTGGGAAGCAGAATTGGAGGCAGGGTACAAGATGATGGAAGAAAGGAGTCAGGTGGGGGCTCTTGATGTTGCAGACTCAGGTTTGGCTCCTGCTCTGCCCCTTGCTGGTTGTGACAAGTTACTTAATGTCATAGGCTCAAGTCCCTCATGTATGAGGAGGGAGGGGTAACAGCATGAAAAGCTGACTGCTAAAGCAGAGGGGGAAGGCTGGGCCCCTGCCAGGGCATGTGGGACAGGGACCCTGAGCATTATCAGTGCAGGCTTCCTTTTCCACTTTCAACCCACCGTGTGGCGCCTTTATGGAATAGTTGCTGCAATAAGACAAAAACCAGAGAAGGGCCATCTGAGGTGGGACAAGACCACTAGTACTGTGATGAGCCCTTAGTGGCCAGGGAGAGGCACGGGCAGGACCAGGGTCAGAGGTGGGTGGACAAGTTACTGTCTTTTTAAAGGCCTAGCAGAGACCCAGGGAGGATGAGTGCAGCCAGTGCACCTGACTCAGCTCCTCTCCAAGCTGCTTCCTGTGCTAACCACATGTCCCTCTCCTTCTTGATCCGTAGTGCAGTTCGACATGATGCGTGCCTGCAATATGGTGGCCACAGCAGCGCTCGCCATGGGTCAGCTCACCTTCGTCCTGGGGCTTACAGGCTTGCCTCTGATGTCACCTGATTCCCAATGCTGGGAGGAGGCTATGGCTGCTGCATTCCAGCTGGCAAGTAAGTACTCTGGGCAGGCAGAGTGACCATGCCATAGCCCCATCAGACTGGCCAACTTGCTAGGGCCTCCTGATGTCATGGGGGTACCCCAGGGCCTTGGGTGACATGGGGGACAGGCTGCGCCTCTTAACCTGGCCAAAGATGGCCCCCATGTTCATCCCTCCCTTATTGTGGGCAAAAGCAAGACAGACATGTACACTCAGGGGTGAGGAGTACTGAGAACCTGGTCACCTGGCCTTGAGTCTCTTCCACCTTTTCCCTATTAAAAGCAGTGCTAGATTACTGGGGTGATGTGCTTTTCCCAGTCTATGGGATCTGTACCTGACCTGCCCTTCTGAAACCCACATGGGGGCAACTGAGACTCATGTTCCTGCTGTCTGCTCAAGCAGCCAGGGAAGAGCTGGTTTGTACTGGATAGAGATAGGAGAACCCAAACCTGACTCCGGCCTCCTGCTGCCCCAGCTCACAGGCACAGGCACAGGCACAAGAAAGGCCAGACACATGTTCTATTGTCAACACTGCTTCCCCTCCTTCCCTCAGTGTAACCCCTTCTTACGAGCAAAATAAGACACAGGACATGCCAGTGTGTCCCACGCTGCCCAAAGACAGAGGAGGTTCATGTACGTGTGCACACAGAGCTTTTTTCTGGCTGTCACAGATGCAAGCCATGACCTGCCTCCCTCACCCCTGTGCAATTGTGTGGTGGGGCCCCATGTGAGGCCAGGATTCTTGGTTTGATGTGGCTCTGGGCCATTGGAAAATGAGCCTGTTTGGAACACTGGACCTGCCATCTGGGCTCATCTGGGCCCTAATGGGCAAGGTGGGACAGGGCATGAGAACACCTTGCTGTTTTTAAAGGGCAAGAGCATGAGCACTGTCAAAAATGATCCAGAGAATTATTCTGGTGGTTCTGGACAAATGTCTGTGACCACCCCTACCCACAACGACCTTGGGGTCCCTCTGCTCTAGCCTGTGGACTCAAAAGAGTTTTAAGGATCCTGGCCAACCCAGGGAAGTTCAAGTTTCTTGCTACTCACTTGAGACAAGTCAGCTCATCAGAAACACAAGGCTCCTGTCTGCAGGGCTAGAGCATGTGGTGCTTTCCTTCTTAGTGTATAATCGCAGCCTTTCCCAGTGTCAAATGTACAGTCCCAACAGAGGAAAACTGTGGGAAGTCTGAGTTGAATCATTCTAGGAATAATGGATCCTGGATCCTTATCTTTCTTGAGAAATGCAATTTCCAGAATGAGGCCAGCCGGCATTCTGGGCTAGAACGGGCCGGAGTATAGTAAGGAAACTGGGCTGAGTGCTATGAATAGCTGAGCAACATAGTCCTGGGAAAGTCACTTCCCTGTGGCTGAGTCAGAGCAGGAAGGCAGGATCATGATGTCCCAGTGGAAGAACACAAGGCTCAGTAGCAAGAGACAAGGAATTGCATCTTGGTGTCCATGGCTATCACTGTGAACTTGGGAGAATTGCTGAGCCAACTGCAGTTTACCTAGTGCCCAGCCCCAACTGGTTATAAGAATAAATGAAGTAGGTAGAATGAGATCAAGGATCAATTCTGCCTCCTTTCCTATTCCACGACTGAGGATAAAAACACAGAATTCCAAATTATGAGACATATTTAGGAAAGTTATCTGCTTTGCCTTCTGCTGACCTAAAGGCCACAAAACAGGAAACATTTTCCTTGTTCTTACTAAAGCCAGACCTCCATCATGTGTGACCCTCTGGAATTCCATCCCTTCAAGAAGGAAATGGAAGATTTTGAAAACATGATTGGAAAAACTGGGCTATAAAAAGATATTTTAGAAAGAGAACAAACCCAGAAACAAAAACTAAGATTTCTGGAAGCACAACACTGAATAGATGCCATAGAAAGTGCTATATCTGGAAATAAATGACAGGAAAAAGATTATTTTAGTGACATAAAATAAATGCAAGTAACAGTTCTAGATTCTGATCTCCTACCTCCTAGCAGGGTAATCAAACTGATTGCTGTCCTTCTTACTGTCTTCCTCCGAAGACTACTATTTGGAATTATTAGAACTACTTGGGGCCTAGCACATCAGACTGAGAGGTTGTCTCCTGAAAAACTCTGGTTTCAGAAGGCAGCGTTGCTTCCAAATAATACATTTTTAAATACCAAAATGGGGAAAAGTCTCACATTAACTAAAACTGAGCTGTTTTGCAGCAGTTCTGGAGACGTGCCAAAGGCCTCCAGGGGCCCTGTCCTGGTGTGTGAAGGGTGTCAGTGGTTACTACACCCCCTGAATATTTCTAGGCCAGCACAACTTCTGAAAGGGCTGGACCAGACTCTTCAAAAATCATCAGACAGGTGGAGGCCAGCAGAAAAAGCCAGAACACTGGGCGGCAGCAGCCCTGGGCATTTTGGGTGGCTTTTCAAGCCTCCACAGGCTGCCCCACCCCTCCTGCATGACACTCCTAACAGGTCCGCTTTGCCCCAAAAGGAAATGCATTTGGTCTGTTTAGACTCGTTTCATTGACAAACAGTACAGAGAACAGTTATGTGCCTTTCTTCTATCATGCTGCTAATTTTAGCGCTGGGTTTTTTCCTGTGCTCTGGTCTGTTTTAAAGCCAGGGAGAGACTACAGGGCGCCAGGATGTCCTGTCACAGGACGAGGAAACGCCTGCTGTTACCTGTTGTCAAGCAAACCTCAATCCTAGAGCTGGGGTGAGGTGGGCAGGGAGGGGAGAGGAGATGCTAATGCACAGAGGGAGGAAAGCAACTAACCCCAGGAGGAGGCTGGAGAAACCTGGAAACCAGCAAAAACACGATGTGCTGAAGGGAAGCTCCTGATTTATCCCAGAGAGACAAGGGTCCGGGCTTTTGTCTACCCCACTCCACAGCTGGTTCTGGACACCAGGGCCACACTCCGCCTGGCCCTGGGTTGGAAAAGGACCTTCCTTGAATCTCACAGGTCTTCATGTCAGGAATGTGCATATCAGCTTTCTGGTGGTTTAGGCTCATAAGTTCTGCCTAACACGTGCCATGGTGCTGGCATCTGCACTTGATTTTCTAAGTATGGTTTCATTTTACCTTAAAGTTGAAAACATTCCTTTCTGTCCATGCACTGGATACCTGTGGAAACCTGCATTTTCCCTGTAACGGATCACTCCGCATGTCAGACAGGCCTGTGACATCAAGGTCCATGCAGCTAGGTCTGCCAAGGTCCTTAGGAGACAAGACAGGCCAAGGCTCTTGGTACTCTAGCTGCCACAGGCAAGTTCACTCTGCCTCCCTGCTCTGTCCTTCACCAGATGCCTTCTTCTTTGCCCTTTTTGGTTTCTTTGTATAACGGGCATGGCAGGCACAAAATGCCAGTGTTTTCCTGTCCTCTCCTTCCTGAGGCCCCTTTAGGGCACAGTTCCTATACCAACTGATCCATCAGCTCATTCAGATACAATACACAGAAGCCCTCCCAGAAGCACCTCAAGCAAGAAGAGTGATGATAGGCTCCTTGCCTGTGTGCTTGTGACCCCAGGGGGAGGGAGGGCTGAGATGAGCAGCTGCTGCCCAGCTTGCTCTGTGGTCCTTTTCCCACGTCTGCTCTTTTACTTACTTTCTGATGGCCTCTTCTCTTCTCTCTCCTGCACCTTTCCCATGGTCTGTGGTCTTGCCAGCTGTGTAGGTAGGCACAGGTGGAAGAGGGCCAGGCACATAGCCTACAAAGTGGTGAGCTTGTTCTGGCCTCTGCCTATGTAAGCCAAGCTGCACGCAGCATATGACAGGGAACTAGGGGCTTGCAGAAGTGCAGTTCGGGAGGCTCCTCAGCTCTGCGTTGGAGAATGGTCCCAGTCCTCCCAGGTGTGTCCTAGCTAGTGCTCCAGCTGGGGACCAGTGCTCTATCTATACAGGCAGGTGTGGAACCCAGCTCCTGGGTTCCACACCTGCCTGTATCCTTGTTGCCATGTATCCTGGGATGAGTTCCTCCACCCTGTGCCATCTGCTTATGCGGAGGGACGTATGACCCTGCCCACAGGAGTGGGTTTTCAGGAGGATGCTGGTGGTATCCTGCTAACTTACCCCTGGAGTCCTGTTGGGTGACCCCCACACAGGGAGCTGCCATCCTCAAACTGCTTCCACTATGCCCGCACATGCAGAACTTGGGCTCTTGCATTGTACACCCTGGGAAGGCCAGCTGTCCTTTGTGGAGGCACCAAACTCTTCCTCTCCAACAATAAATGTTTATGGAAGCCAGCTGTCAGGCCTTGGGCCACATGCTGAGTTTTCTCTCACATTGACAAACTTGCCTGTGTCCATTTCTGCCTGCTCACACCTTTATCTCCATAGTTCAGAGCCCATCTGCAAATCCAAACTCATCGGTGCTACCCAGACCACTTGTGACACTGGGTTTTGGTTGTCTCCCATATAGCCAGTGCAGAATGCTGGTAAAGAAAGCTGCCATAAGCCTTCCCTGGCTCCACATCCACAGCTCCCTTTCTGGAAATCACAACTTTCTTATGATGGCAAACTCACCATATACTCAGGGTCACTTAGCTCATCCCCAGGGACGCTGACTAGATCCACCCTTGAAAGGATAAACATTGTTGAAAAGCTCACATTGTGAGCTGGTTGGGAATTTTGCTGTTTTCTGGGGGTTGTTATGGGAAAAGTTAGTCTTTGTTTATTCTGAATAATTCACTTCTCTGTCTTCTGTACCCAACCCCTGAGCACCAGTCTACCATCCCAGCTGCATGTCATCATCTCTCCATTCCCTCCTGCAACTGAGAATACCCAAGAACCTCAGGCTCCTGTGGAAGTACATGATTCCCCTCCCCAGAACCATGTGGATCACCATCATCTTGCTGCACACAAATGCTGGGCATGCCAACCCCAGCGGTGCCTGGATGGTCTTATTCAGCATTCTCTTTGGAAGCCAGTGGTGTTAGATCTGAAGGACAGGCGTCTCATTTGCTGGGAGCATCAGGGGTCAGCCCCAGGGTCTTTCCTCTGATGCCACCTGTGTGTATATTA